GAATCGACTTAAGGCATTGAGTTTGAGTTTGTGACTGTAGGTCCTTGTGGCCAGGAAAGTCCAATGGGTCTAGAACCAGGGATACTTTGTGAGCTCCTTTGGCTTCTTCCTAGATTCTTGAATTTCAGCGACAGAGCTGATTGACACGTGCCCTCCGTACTTGTGACGCACCGTGTGAGGGGTTGAGGGTCTGTGGTGGTTAAGCCGGCCTTACCTTTTTGTAGACACTCCTCAGATCGCGGTACTGCCACATGCTGTTGAGGACCTGAGATGCTGCCTTGACCACTTTGGGAGAGTGTCTGCAGGAGAAAAGACAGGAAGGACCAGGTGGTGAGTGGGCAGCCGGGCTCCAGAGCAACACGGCCTTGTCAAGACACTTCTGGATCTTTCTCTCTGAAACAGGATCATTCTCCTCGTCTCTGACCTCCTGCTCCTCCACGCACCCACCGTGCGGAGAGGCAGAAATGAAGGGCTGAGAAGGTGTCATCACAATGCTGGCGGTCCGAGGGGCGGGGTCAGTGCTTATGGCACATAGCTGAGAACATAGGTTCTTAGCTGCCAGCCCAAAGGTTGGAGGATCCCATCCACCCAGAGGTGCCCGGTAATCTGCTTTCAAACAATTAGCCACTCAACAGTCCCAGAAAGCACAGTTCTGTTCCAAAACACAGGAGGGGCTCTAGAGTTGGAAATGACCAGATGGCAACAGGCTAGTCCAACGTCAGATTTAGCACTTTGAGAAGACAATAGAAACTCATCTTCTTTCTGGAAGTAGGAGGGCACTTCTAAGTTTGGTTCTACTATCATGAATGATGTTGGGCAGTGGGGACTACCTGTGAATGCTACCATGTACTTGCTGGCCCGCATATGTGCATCTAAATGTAATGTTCCTGTTGGGGTATACAGAGAGGAACCAAAATGACATTAACCTTCGTCGATGAGTGGTTCTTAGCATTTGTGAGCCACAAATACGTTGGAAAATAAATAAGTAAATATGTTATCTTTGAGTTAGTACTTCTCTTCACCTAGAAGCAGAGACTTGGTCAAGAAGTCTCTGTTGCTGCCTTCAGCAGCGTGGGACCATAAGAACTCGATGGTGCCTGGCTCCCAGGGTCTACTGCTCTATCTTGGACTGAATGTGAGAAAAATTCCAAGTCATACAAAAAGCCCAGACTTCAAGGATCAGGCAGTAGCCAAACAACACAGGCCTATAAAGTGAACAATACACTCACAGGAACATACTCCTCAGAATAATTAACTATACAAGACCAGAAGGACAGCATTTGCCCTAAACACAAAGCTCAGAGGTCAGGAGTTATCAGGAAAAGTGGAAGAAAGGAAACAGGGAGCCCAGGGAGGAAGTGAGGCTGTTGTCACACTGAGAGAATTGCAGCTCATGTCACGAAACAAAATGTGTGCAAAATGAGCGGGAAACGGATTTGTTTTGTATAGTTTCACACAGAGCACAATCGAAACACGCAAACCAAACCAAACACGAAATCCACATTGATTTAACTCATCCAACTTCTTGGAAGCCACTTGTGGCTACAGAAACAATAAGCTACCTGCAGGTTCTGGGTTCCCATGGGGTGATTTCATGGGTCTCTCAAGGCTGGACTCTAGATGCTTTATTCACAGTGTGGCAACTTCTGGCTGGAAGCACACAGTTTCCATAAAGAACCAGAGAATAAATATCACTGGCTTAGAAGTTATTCTAGTTTGCAAGAGGGCAGCGGTAGACCATCATACAGGGATAGGTGTAGTTGTGTTTCAGGGAAACTTAATTTACAAAAACAGCTGGTGGGTGAGGTTTGGCTGTTGTCTGTCCACTTCTGGTTTCTGGGGATGGTGACCCTTGGGGTTGCATCGAACACAGCCATTGAGATAGATCCCAACAGACAACCCTTTAAACTAGCGAGGACTTTGGCCCACTGATGAGCAAGTCGGAATGGAGACTAACAAACCTTTGAAGTAAAAGGATCTGTGAAAAAGGATGCAAATACATGGTTAACTGGGGTGAGCTTGGTTTTGGGAAGCACAGTTAAGGATATTGCAAGGACGTGGGGAATGTGATGAGATTACTGCATGCTGATATGAGAGGCCTTTCATTATCTTCCCATTTCATTTTCCATTAATTCTTTGAAGCACCCTTGTACAAAGTAGAGAGAATGGCTGCTGCTTTACATTTGCAATTCAGACCAAAGACCAGTCCCTGGAGACGGACACCATGTTTGGTACCGTGGAAGGGCCACGGGCAAGAGGAAGACCCTCAACGAAATGGATTGACACAGTGGCTGCATCTATGGGCTTGCCCAGAGGAACGACTGGGAGGAGGGCACAGGGCAGTGCTGTGTTTCGTTCTTTTGTGAATAAGGTTGCTACAGGTCGAAGTACCTAACAACAACAACAACAAGCAAAGAAGCACTGGCGGGATGGTGGTTATGCATTGCACTGTGATCTGAAGGGTCAGCAGTTTGAAACCACCAGCTGCTCTGTAGGAGAATTAGTCTTAGTTCTACCCTGTCCTATAGCGTTGAATGAGTTGGACTAGACTCGATGGCAACGAGATGGGTTTTGGTTTTTAAAAGCAATTAAGAGGTAGACCCTCCATGAGATGGACGGTCACAGTGGCTGCAATAACAGCCTCACACGTAAGAGCAACTGTGCGGCTGGAACAAGATTGGTCAGTGTTTTGCTCTGTTGTACATGGGTCCCTGTGAGTCAGAACTGATGTGCTGGCATCTAACAGCCACAGCACGCTCCAAGCTTTGTTTTCCACTCATTTGCTTAAGGGCAACAGTAACAGTCATCCACTATTGGTTGATCAATTATACAATTGTTAATTTTTTAAAAGTCCACGACAAAGTACCTATTCTAAGGCAACCTATTTCCTTTTCCTAAAGCAGATTTGACAATTTCCCATAAGGTTCTTAATGCAACCCTGCAGTCCTATCATTTAAAGACCGAAAGGGCTAGATCTTAGGTATACCTACAAGGAGAGGCATGCTTTATTCTTATATTTCAATGGTGGGCCATGAGAAAATGCTATGTTTTGCTGCAATCTATATGTATGAGCTAGATATTTGTCCATGAAAATAGTCAAACAATTCCAGAGGCAGACACATTAATATTCAGGTGATGGTAAGTACCGCGGAAACATAGTTAGTATGCAAAAATTCCTCTGACATAGTGCAATCTTTGTGTTTGCATTTTGCTTAGTTACAAAATAGAGACTGTGGCTGTCTAATGAAGAGCAGATTTTAACCTCTCAATTAAAATGCCAAGACATCAGAGTGCGGGGATAACATTTGAAGGTTACAGAATCATTGGCTTTCTTTGCAGTCATGGTTTTGATCCACAAGGCTGATACCATAGCAACTTCTACTTGAGGAACTACAGCTATTGATTGAAGGCCTTTAACAACAGAGTGTTTCTAATGTGACAAGTGATTGTAACTCAAACCACAAGTCACAGTTCCTTCCTGGCAAGTCACCGTTGAGACTGTTAATAGCTTTTCTGTCTTAGGACAAAACAGAGTGACACATTCCACACTATTTCCAACATAACTGTAAGTATTGGAAACAACAAAACAAAATGAAACAAGTGCTCCTCTTGAGAAATAAGGACGTTAAAGGATGTCTGTCGTGTGTGTTTAAAATGATATGAGAAGAGTATTATAAAGTTATCAAGACTTGGAAGTGTTAAGCACAGACTCGAGTGAGAGTCCGGAAGGCGTATAGAATGCCTCTTCTTCACCAGAGTTGTCAAATCAGGGGTGGCCCAGTATTTCTGAGGTGGCCTGCTAACTTCAAGGTCAGCAGTTTGAAATGATCAGTGGTCCCATGGGAGAATGATGAGGCTTTCTACTCCCAGTAAAGAGTTATAGTCAGAGAAACTCACAGGGGCTGTTCTACCCTGTGAACATAGATTCAATGGCAGTGAGTGTGGGGCTTAGCTCCACCAGCAGCAGGAAATTCGAAACAGTGTTTGCAAAATACAGTGGGCCGGACTTTTAAGCAGCCCAGATCAGCAACTCCTTAGCCTAACCCATCAAGACCATTGAAAAACAAGGGGACTTCAACAAAATTCACAGACAAAAATGGAAGGATAAAAGAATGGAATTTCCCTAATAACTTTTGAAGCCCCCTTTGTATTTAAGCTTGCATATCTTTAGAAATAAAGCAAACACACACAATGCCATGGACAGGGTAGAACTGCCCCTGTGAGTTTCCAAGACTGTTACTCTATATGGGGGTGAAAAACCTCATCTTTCATTCTCAGAGTCAGCTGGTGGTTTTGAACTTCTGATCTTGAGGTGATCAGCCCAATGCTTAACCACTACACCACAAGGGCTCCCATCAGTAAAGCGCAGACATGCACAAAATAGTGAAGGAAAGCATTTGTCCATCTGGGGTTTCTTTCCCTATGTTGTCTCAGACCCAAATAAGGCTTGAACTTAACATCTTATTTGGAAGGATTTTCTAAAGGCAGATTTAGGAAGGACAGCTTTGCAAAGCAGTTTATACATTAATTTGGAGAAATTTATATTGCCTCTGTTTCCAATTATTAAAACATCCTAAGTCTCCAACTTCTATTTTCAGTCAAGACAGGGCTTAGGCACCCATAGGATCTAGAATAAAACTGACTCTCATGGTTCAATTTTCAGTCAAATATGAACACAGGCGAGCAGTTCAGCTCCCTGCAAGAAACATGAGGCTTTGGGCTCCCGTAAAGAGCTATCGTCTCAAAAGCCCTAAGGGACAGTTCTACTCTGTTCGATAGTGTCACTGTGAGTCAGAATCGAATCGATGGCAATGAACTTGGTTTTGGTTTTATAAGAACCCTAACCCTAGTGAGGTATGCACACTTTAGAATAACCAATCACTTGAAATCAAAGGGGCAACATATGCTGAAGGACAAAGTTCAGAAGAGTTTAGCCCTACTGTCAGAGTGATTACAAATTGAGCTGCTATCCACAAGGTCAGCAGTTTGAAACCACCAGCCACTCTTTGGGAGAAAGATGAGGGTTTCTACTCTCGTAAAGAGTTACAGTCTCAGAAACCCACAGGGACACTTCTACTCTGTCCCATGCTGTTGCCGTGACTCAGCATCAAGTAGGGGACAATGAGTTTGGTTTCCTGTTTAATTTTTTTTTGGAGGAGACTGAAGGAATCTGTCTGTCTAGCTTAAACCTATGATTTGGGGCCTTTCTCCTAAATTCATTTTGCTTTGATAGGAGTGAAAAAGCAAATGATCAAACTGAAGGTAGAAGATTAGAGAGGAACTATGAAAATACCACAGGTGATTAAAAACCTTCTCTTGACTCCCAGCCTGATAAGTGACAGGCAATGCTGGATGAGAATGACTAAGTGGTACAGCTGGAGCTGTGTGGGTGGCTGACTCAGCCCAGTTCTACACTTCCAATTCAGCGAGTAAATCCAAGCAGTTGACAATTAGGGACCAAACAAACAATGCAACAGTAAGAGGAAACAAATAACTATTGAAATTTCCATCAAAGTAAGGGTGTGTTTGAGATCATCTGTAGGGAAAGATACTTCCCAAGTGAGCCATCAAGGTTGGACAGACCTCCCAGGGCCATCTTCTGGCTTGGCTAGAAGGATGTATTGACATATAGCTGATTTCCATCCCAACCCTTGTGATAGATAGGTTTATCGTGCCAACCTGGCCAACAACACATGTGGGATTAATAAGGTTGCAGTTTAATTGAAAGGCAAAGAGATAAATGGCTTGGCGAGACTTTCCTTTCTGTCTCTTGCTCTCTGATGATTGGACCAGTGTGCGGCTGCCTTAGCACACTGACTCAACTTGCAAGCTACACTACCTATGGGACATCCAACCTGTGGACTGTGTCACTATAGTTTGAGGTTCCTTGGAGACTTGCTTTGCCACACTGCCGGTCTATACATCACTTGAGCTGGGGACTGTCGGACCCTGTCATCTGTGGCTGGATGGCATGTATTGCTCTACAGAAGACTCAGCTGTCTACTTCCTTGACTTGCACCCAGCAGCCCTCATGAGTTGAAGGGGTGCCAGTGTATTAACTGTCTCATGGAAGTGAGTTGAACTAAACCATTTGTACTGCTCTCTGGACTAAATAGCTGTTTATTTCTTTGTGGTCTATCTATCTATCTATCTATCTATCTATCTATCTATCTATCTATCCATCTATCTATCTATCTTTATATAAAATCATAAGTGTCCTGTTTTGGTTCTCTAGATAATCCTAACAAACTCCCAAGTGATTCTTAGTTTGTTTCACCAAAATTACATTTTCTTACGGTAGGACTAACAAAAACATCTCGTTTCTTTAAGGTGTATTTAGTACTCACTGGCAACCGGTGTCTAGAAATCAATTTCTGAAAAACCACCTCCTGAAAGACCAGTGGAGCACAGCTCTTACCCGGGCACAGAGGGGGGCACCATGAGCCAGAACTGGATCAACAGCAATGGGCCGGGCTGGGATTTTAAGGAGGTTGTCTCTGTTAGGGATGTCCTCAAGGCTGGCATACAGGGACACGCTCCATACTGTTCTCCAAAGCTCCCAGGCTGTGCATTTTGATCTTCGGATGACTCATAAAACTAAATCACTAAATCAGAGTATCGTGAAGACTGGCGACTTTGGGAGAGGCCCAGCCAGAATGCTCCTTAGAGGCGAGCATGGCGAGACTGTCTCCTGTGCTTTGGACATGTTGTCAGGAGAGACCAGTCCCCGAAGGAGGACATCGTGCTGGGTGAACTAGGGGGGAGGGGCAGTGAAAAAGGGGAAACCATTGATGCGATGGATTGACTCAGTGGCTGCACTGATGGCTCAAATATCAGAGCCGTGGTGAGGATGGGGCAGGACTCTCGGGTGCACTCAGGGACACTGCAAGTTGGAAGGGACTCGGCGGCACCAACAATAACATGTTTTTAGGTGGCATGTGCATCTATGTGCATTTGTTTAAAAAACACCAACTTATTAAGTTCCTAACACAGGAAAAACAAATCTGTTAGAAACATCAAAGGTCTAATGAAAGTCAATGGAGCTCGCAGGGCACTGGGGTGCTAACCATGCAAGGTCGGTGGTTAAACTCAGCAGCCACTATGAGAGAGGAAAATGAGGCTGCTTGCCCCTGTAAAGATGTCCAGTAATAAAAACCAGGGCTGGGTTGTTATGAACTGAAATGGGCTCAGCGGCAGTGCACTGTTTTTTGGTTCTGAAACTAGATAAAGCAGAAAACCATGAGGCTTCCCCTTGCTGAAGAAGATAGAAGTGTATTGTCATACAACATGACCCAGGAGTCCCTGGGAGGTGCAAATGGTTAACCTGCTCACCTGCTGACTAGAAGGCTGGAGGTCTAAGCTCACCCAGGCATGCCCTGGATGGCCTGGGGCTTCGTTCTGAAAAACCAGCCTTTTGAAAACCCTGTGGAGCACAGTTCTCCTGCAACACACAGGGGATCACAAGCAGTTGGGCTCGAACACTATTAACTCTTTTCATTTGTTTACAATCTTAGAAGCTATCAGTCAGGCCAACAATCTAAATTGGGCAATTATTATATCTTGGCCCAATGGGGCTTTTCTGACTTGACATAGAAAAGTAATCAAGTCCTAAAACTGAACTATAGATTGGACCTGCGGGGAGGTCTCAAGACGCTTAATCGGAAACCTGGAAACTTCTTTTATCAAATACGGCTAAGAAATGGAATTAAATGAAAATAATAATGAGATATTTTCCAAAAAGTCTCAAAGTGAATCCCTCGCAGCCTTCAATAACAAAGGGAGAAATTATTTAGCCTTCAGATGTAAAGGTATGGAGGGAGGGTGAGGGACAGAAAATTCAAGAAATAGACCCTTGATAACTAAAGGTTTTACCTCTTTAATCTTCTTTGATTACATTGAGGGACTTCCAGGAGGCGAAATTTAATTAAGGTTAGTGAGTATTTCTGTTCCGTTGACAGCTTCTTGATAAACAGACACTCTGTCTTGTGAAGATATTTTTCTGGCTCAGGGAGGAAGATACCGCCGCTTCGTAAATCAAGCTGGAGGGCACTCTATTTGTGGAGGTTGCAATTGGGTTGACATGGAACCTTATCGTTTCCTATTTTGTGCACAGGAATGCCATCAGCCTCCTCTCCTGGCTCTCTCTACCTGGGCAACACGGTCCTCCTTTAAGGCTTGGTTATCACTTCTTTGAGAAGGCATATGAGACACCCCTTCCTGCAATCTGAGATTGGAATGTGTAGGCATTCTAATTCATTCGATCAAATAACTGTCCCCGGATCCTACAACCAGTAAGGGAGGGTGCTGGATTCGAACTTCCTTCCCTCAGACTCTACCCAAAGACCGAGCCAGGTGCTGTCAATTTCTACTCACGAGGACCCTGCGAGTGCAGAGTAGAAAAGTGCTCCAGAGGCTTTTCAAGGCTGTGTGCGGCCTTTGGGAAACAGATTATAGACTCCCGTCTTCCAAGGCACCTCTGAGTGGACCTGAAATGACAACCTTGTGGTTGGTAGTCAAATGCCTAAGCGGTTATGCTATCCTGGGATCTCTGACTCCAATAAACTTCAGTTTCTCCCCTATGATTCTGGCACGATGACTTGCAGGGCAGAGCCGGGACATAGAGCAAGAGGTCCAACATATGCACTTGCAACGAAGGACCAAGACAATACCCGACTGCGTGTCTGTTAAGCTAGTTGTCTTTTCCACGCTGAGGTCGTGCTCTGAATACCTACATGGGTCATGTGTACACACAGGTCACGGGTCCGCTCTGCAACATCACAGTGGCCGCCAAAGGACGATTTCTCATCCATTCGAACGACTCACAAGATCAGCTGCCTCGTGGGTGTGAAGAGCAGAAGCGGCTTACTGTTTTCATTCCCCCGGAGTATCAGAGCCAAAGCCAGGCGGTGACATTCACAGACGAACAATCGTCAGGGGAAGCAGGCACACTAGGAACCCAGTCTCCCAGCACAGCACCGTGGGAGCCCCCACCTAACTTACTTGTCTCCTTTACTTTTGGAGATGCCGACCAACTTCTCGATGCCACCGGCATCCCGTAAGGCCTTGGCGTTCTCCATGTTCTTGGTGATCACCTCGTGCAGGGTACAGCAGACGGCGGTCACCGTGTCATCCGACATGGCCTTGCTCGCCGAGGTGGTGCTGTTGTTCCCGCCTGGCAGCCTGTGGACAAGGTCTCGCATGGCGTATTTGCCTTAGGAGAGAAGAGGAAGGGGAGAGTGGCAGTGAGGTCGATGGAGGCAGAGGGTGGAGAGGCATGTAGGGGCCGAGGCACAACGAACGAGCATCCACCTTCAGGCAGGTGGCCTGTGCCCCAAGGCTGGATGAGGAGACTCACTACCGAGAGAAGAGCGTTTCGTCACAGCGAAGGTGCGGACTTTGGTGCTGGTCAAAGGTGGGGGCTGGAGGGCTGGGAAAATGATTTCCCCTTCCATGGGTCCTTAATCTGTAAGTCAAGAATGATAGTAGGGGCCCCATGACCAAACAACGGTGCGGAGCATGTGATTCATGGTGCTGACAGCATTTAACACACGGTGATGGATTGACAGGGGCAGTCTCTTGGCGGGACTACTGGAAAGGTCAAAGCTTAGAGTCCACCCAGAGGTCCCTCTGATATACTTCCAAACAAATCAGTCATTGAATGTCTTAGGGAACACAGTTGTACTGGAACACACCTGAGGTTCACACACACATCCACAGGCAACTGGAAGGACACCGGGGCAGAGCTGAGCATCCTTCATTTCATCACCATGCTAAGCTCCAGTAGTAGCCCACCTCTACCTTTGAGGACTCTGGGGGGAATGAAGTGAATAATGAAAGAGCCGGGAGTTCTCGCTCATAGCAAAGCAAGACCCAGTATGCCTCTGAGAACTTGCTATGTGAGGGAATTACAGTGATTGGAGCTGAGCAAGACCCTCCATCAACGCAACAAAGGATAAAAGAACAGAGAACAAAAAACATCTCAAGCTTTGCAGATCGCAGCCCAAGTCCTAACCACGACACCCTCATAGGCTGCCAAAATGACAAACAAACCTGTCTTGGAAGAAGCAGAGACAGAATGCTCCTTGGAGGCAAAAGTGGCAAGCCTCTGTCTCGTGGACTTTCGGCATGGATCAGGAGAGACCCGTCCCTGGAGAAGGACTTCATGCTTGGCAAAGTGAAGGGGCAGAAAGAGGACGGCCCTCGAAAGGTTGGATTGATGCCGTGGCTGCAACATAGGCTCTGGCTTAGGAACAATGGGCGGTTGGCACAGGGCCGGGCGGGGTTTCGTTCTATTGGGCACAGGGTTCTCCATGGGTCTGCACCAACATGTTGGCATCTAAAGCAACCCTTTCAGGTCATCTGGATGGTGCAGTGGAGGAGGTGCTGGGCTGCCCGCTCACGCTTCATCGGAGAACAGGTAGGCTGTCTGCTCCTTACAGCCGCGGAAACCCCAGGAGGAGTTCGACTCTGGTCTAAAGGTTCTCGGTGAGTCATCACGGACTTGACTTGACTTGACAGCAGTGGGTTTTTGTGTTTGGATTTCCTCCCATTTAACATTTGCTAGTTTGGCATGTTTTTCTCCACGTGAAAAGAAAAAAAAAAACGACATCCAACTCTGCTTCCTGATTTCACTTAATCATTATTAATCTCGCTGCTCCCAGGGATAAGGGGACTGAGGGTGCCATATTCACAGACGGCTTTTAGTTTACAAAGCACTTTCCACATGGCCAATAGCACTGTGGGGCCCTTAATTCATCCCACCTGCAGCTTCCAGTCCTGTTTCTTTAATTTACTTCTGGAAGTGACTAAATAGTGCCCGTAATAAAGTTGACTGTTAGAAACTTTCTCTCACCCCTGCCCCCTTACCAAGTTTGGGAATTGGCAAGTGTCCAAAGCTGAATTCCTTCCTCATCTCCAGCCTCCAGTGTGATATATTTAGCTAGCTCCTAAAAGCGATTGGAACTATTTTCCCTTCATACCAATCTGTAATGATCTCTTCTTTTCCGTCTCCTTCTTGGTTGTGTGGTGACTGGGGCTCTGAAGAGGAGCCCCGAGGGAGAAGGTGTGGATCTCTCCACTTCAGGCAGAGATAAATAAAACATGGGCCCTTTTAATTTGGGAATCAGCTCTTACCCTAAGTTTAGGCGGCTTATTTTAGCTTGGCCAAAAAAAAAAAAATGCTGATGTCTAAATTACTGAAAGAGGAAAGACTAAGCATCTTCATTGACTTGATGATAGCTGGGGACGTGTCTGACAAAAACCGTTTGCCTGAAAACTCCCAGTACAGCATGTTTATTTTCTAATGACAGCACTTAAAATAGTTTGAAGATGATGCTTTCTCCAAGGATAGTCCTCCGAGCCACTAACTTTATCAATTTATCATTAAATCAGACCTAACTCCAGCCAAGACTTTACTTTTGTTGCGCTCAGCATGCTGTGGACTTTATCAGCTCATTAACCCTCACCAACCACTGGAAGACAAATTTGTGTCACACAGAAGTGAGATGAAGGAAGTTCTATCCATCTCTCTACCTACCTACCTACCTACCTACCTACCTACCTACCTACCTACCTACCTACCTATCTATCCCACCCTGGCTCTCACTCTTTCGCTCTCCCTTAAAAAGGGATTGTTGGAGGAAGGGCAAGAGAATTTACAAGAAGATTTCAATGATTGTGCATATGGCACCATGCACGCTCTCAGTGGAATATGGAAGACTGGTTTGGGGATCTTGGACATTTTCAAGGTCGAAAGCAAAAGTAAGGAGAGAGATGATTGGTTGTCTTTTTCATTTTCAATGTTTACATGCATTTGTTTTCCAAATTGTGCTGGCATCTCTCTCTCTCTCTCTCTACCTACCTACCTACCTACCTACCTATTGATCTGTTGTGGTCAGGTGATCTTGAGTGAGTTCTGACTCATATACATGATAAAGCATTTGCCAACTCAATGTTTATCAGCGACACAGATTATGTTCATCATGTTGTACAAATGCCACCTTCCATTGTACTGAGAAAATCAACTGCTTTTTCAGTGGAATCCTATCTTCACATGAAATTTGAGTAGCATGAATAATTTTTCAGTCTTTTAAAAATTTCTGAGTTTAATTGGGGGAGAAAGTAAATAGGACTTAAAAATCATTTACAGCCACATACTACCCTGTGATGAAAGGAGCCTGGTCCTGAAACGGTTAAGCATTCAGCTGTGAACTAAAACTGGTAGTTCAAACCCACCCAGAGGCTCTATGAGAGCCAAATCTGGCAACCTGCTTTGGTAAAGATTTCAAAACCAAACCAAACTCACATCCATCTTGTCGATGCCGAGTCATAACGACCTACAGGGCAGCGTAGAAGCCGAGTCATAATGACCTAAGGGCGGCGTAGAACTGCCTCTGTGGGTTTCTGAGACTGCACCTCTTTATGGGAGTCGATAGCCCTGTGTTTCTCCCACAGAGTGGTTGGCGGTTTTGAACTGCTGACCTTATGGATCGCATCGCAATGTGTGCATACACGAAATCCCGACAGGCAGTTCTACTCTGTCACATAGGATTGCCAAGACAGCATTGACTGAATGCACCCCCCAAACAACAACAACAACAACAACAACAATGGTGTGATGCAGTGCTTGCAACAGAAGGTCAGAGACCAGATAATCGGGTTGATCTAGGGTTGCCATAAGGAGCCCTCTCGGTATAGTGGGTTATGTGTTGGGTAACTAGTCCAACGTCAGGAGTTCAAACCAAATGGATTCACAGCCTTGGAAACCACAGGGGATGTTCTACTCTGTCCCTAGTCTCGATGAATCAGAATCGGCTCAATGGCAGTGAATGAGGATTGTCATGGAGTCCCTGGATGATAGAGGTGATGAATTTCTAACTCATCTCAACCTTATAGGATAGAATAGAATAGTTTTTTTGAGTTCCTGAGGCTGTAAATCTTTACAGAAGCAGAAAGCTTCATTTTTCTCTCATGGAGGAACTGGTGAATGTGAACTGCTGACTTAAGGTTAAGAGCTCAATACATCGTAAGCCACTATGCCAGTCTATAAGGCTGTAAGGGGAATAATAACATTAGGGAGGTCCCCATATGTTAGGGTAATCAACCATGTGAGATATGGAGGGTAACCAGTACCCAAGAACCACATTCACAGGGCAAGGAGAAGGCGGAATGGAACCAGGAGGCACAGGGATGAAGCGGTTCCTGATGTCACACTGAGGGGCCGCCATCATTGAGATGGAACAACGTGTCCATGAACCGTTGATTGGGGATCTGACAGTCTTCTCCATAAGCATTCACTTAGTTCACAACGAAAAAGACATTAATATCCTCAACCTGAGTTCCCGAACACTGTAAGGGAACAGCTTCACAGATTGCAGGGATGAAGATGAGCACACTCTTGAGGGACATTTGGAGCCCTGGTGGTACCATAGTTAAGTGTTGTGTTGCCACTGGAGCCCTGGTGGGCCGACCCACTCAATTGTTCTGCAGAAGAAAGAGCTGTTGACCAGCTTCCAGAAAGATTCTGGTCAAGGAGACCTTCGGAGGCAGTTGTACTCTGTCACCTAGGATTGTTTTGAACTGAAATAGACTCATTAGTCACTAACAATAACCATTGTGCCTACCACACTGTCCCAAACCCCAACTCACTGCCATGGACTCAATTCTGAATCACAGTGACCCTATAGGAGAGCACCAAACTGCCTCTGTGGGTTTCTGAGGCTGTAGCTCTTTTTAACCAGAATCTTTATCTGAACAGTTTTATCAGTATGTAATTCAGCGACTGTATCTCTTTATGGGAGTAGAAAGCTTTATCTTACTGCTGTCGAGTGGCTGGTGGTTTTGAACTGCTGACCTTGGGTTAAGCAGCCCAACGTATAACCACTATGCCACCATATTATCCTCGACAAAATAATAGATGTTAAAATCTTTAGTATGTCTATGAGGTAATGCAATGTATTTTTGTCTATCATGGGGGAAAAAGTAAATGTATCTTAAAGTAGAAATGATGGGCTGCTTGCTAGTATGTGAAAGGAGATGAGAAGAGACATTGCTTACAGTGTGCGCTACATTAAAGAAAGCTTAAAGGAAGAAAATGTGCTTTTTTTTTTTTTTGCTGGTTTATAATAGCTGCAAATAATGAGTGTGAAAGAAAGAGTGAAATGTGTTAAGGTTTTGATGAAGTTTGCCTGGCATTGATGGGCCTATTTTCAG